ACTATTGGCAACCTTAGATTTTTGTCCCCCCCCCTTGCATAGTTTAACATCCAACTGAACAACTGAGCCACTCCCTCTCTCTCATAAGGCTACAAGAAGAAAGTAAAATGATGTTCCGAACCTGGAACCACTTAGCGTGGCGTAGAGCAGCCAGAGCGTCAAGGCATTTTTGCCTGTCCAAGACGTCCGGTGGGTCTTTCACCATACCCGAGGTTACATCTAAAATGGATTGAATTGGCAAAATGCAGTGAGGAATGGGTGTTTGACCAGGTGAGCAAGACACTTTCTTAAAAGAGCTTCCATGTCACACATGCCATTTATATTGTATTCCCTGTCTTCAATGTATTAGTATTCAGCAATATTCCTTAATGTATGAACTCTGTGAGCCCAATATGGAAGACATCAAGAGCACTATACTGTATAAGGTTAGCTCTTGGTCTCATTTTTTGCCCATCTACTGTATTTGGGGGGGAAAAACTCCTCTGGAAAAATGAACTTCCCCTGAAGTTAAAATGTCGAAGGAAGAATGGTTGGACACAGTGCACCAGCACAGGAAACACAAGACAGAAGGAACACAAAAATCCACTTGAATGAAGCAAAAGTTACAACAAACCATGAGCAAAATCTATTGTGAAGTTTTCCTGTGCAAGCCCCAATGAAATGAATGAGCTCCTACATTTAGCTCTCATTCATTTTAATGAAAATTGTGCAGGAGAACTTCCCAGTGGATTGTGCCCTTTGTTTGCTTTGACATGTTAAAACGGCCACATGCTACCTTAGACGTGGTCCTAGTTAATGGATTAAAATTCTTGTCATTTACTCAAAACTCATAATGCACTAGAATACCTCACAATAAGTGAGGTAAAATATGTTGATATAAACAGTCCAGATTATTTGGTTTTATAAATTCTGAAGGAATATGAAAATCCATGTAAATTTACAAGTGACATATCTGTAAATTTTCATATTTCTTACTTTCTGGGCTCCTACTGTATCAAGGTGCATGTCATGTATATCCATCCCAATTTCATCCAGAAGAATACAAAAAGAGAACTAGAAAAAGGTCTCAGTGAGTGAAGAAATAAAGGAAAACCCAAAACCACAGGCAGAAGAAATAGTAATATTGAAGAAAGAAAACCTCACTGAATCTGGTAAATTTATATTTTCTCAATAAGGATTTTGTTAGTTATAGTCACTGTGTCAAACTATAGGGCAGGTATAACTTCTGCAGTGAATTGTTTAAACTACCTCTGATTTCATAACTGTCTATCATCAATAAAGGGTATTTCTAGCTATTTTTAAAATGTTCTGCTAAAATAAATTTGCTGTTACAATTAACACTGAATGTGCCATGAGGAATAATGCCAATCAGATTTTGTCTTGGATACTCAGCAGACAGAACTGAACACTGAAATGCAGTCTAATGTAATCAAACATACTAGTACTGTAATAGCAAATCAAAGACTTATGAGACACATCAACTAGAAAAAGGACATAACCCAGGGATTAGCTGATCAGGCCTGAAGGTCAGGTCTCAAATATACATGATGAGAAATGGCCCAAGAGGGCGTATCAACCTGAATTTATGCCACACTTGCTATGTGTACAGAGTGTTTCAAATGTATCTACAATGCTGTGTCTGAACTGTTCAACTATCATAGGAAATTCTTTGTATTTGATTATATGAATATTTTACCAGTGGGATTTACAAAATTTGTACTTGGGATTTATAAATTTTTTACATGGACTATAACCAATAAGCAAAATTAAAAATGAATCACAGTGAGAGATTTAAAAGCAAATGAAAGAAGATGTTTGGATTATAGATATATAAAGGAAAAGTACAGTAACATTTAAGAGTTAACTGAGGCCAAGGTCTGCAGTATGATTTGGTAAACTGATGCATTTGACTATCACAGTTAAAGTAAAATAGGGCTTATTACACTTAATACAGCTTGTGGGAACAACCTCTTTGATGAATTCCAGCATTTTTTCTTATATATAATAGCTGTGTCATCAAGTCAATTGTGACTTTATATAAATACTTTTAATGGCTCCAGATTCATCATCACTGGTTTCATTTTAAAAAAAACTTGTATTAAATAACTGCATTTCAAAGAACTATTTTAAAAAATAAATAGAAGCAATGATGAAGAGTGATCCACATATAATTAGCAAGACTAATTATGTGATCTAGCTCCATTAAAATTAATGGTAGTTTTGCCATTGACCTCAGTAGAGCTGTTGTACTCATTATGAATCAACCTTGAAACCTGAAGCCATCAGAAGGTGCCAAAGCAGCTAGGAAAAAAGGGAAGACATCTGGGCTGGATATCCATTAAAGCAGCTTTCCTACATGTGGATTTTTGCATCTGTTTTTAAGACTCCCAAGTGGATTAACCCCTTAAAGATTATTCCTAAATAAATAAATCAAATCCCCAATACCCTGTTAGCTCCAACCATTTTTTGAACATTTTGTTGTATTCTAGAAATAAGGGGTTAATCTTAAATGAGACATGCTGTGTCCACACTATTTCATAACTAGATAGTCAACAGGTATACTATAGTCTTTAAATTCCAGGTTCAAATTCAGTATTTCCCTGTCAACAGTTTCAAAGCTTAGTGTGAACACTGCTTAATTCTAGAAAGAGACAAAGACAAGAAGTGGAAAAAAGAAGAAGACAAAACACAAAAAACAGTAAATGCTAGGACTATGCAACCAAACCCCCTTGGTTCAAATATGGCAGGTGTGACATTGAGCTTTAGAAAACCTTGGTCAAAAATCCTTCCGATGTCTTGGCAGCAATCTCTGATAGGATTCAATTGTCTCTGTTAGAAGGCTTTGGACCGGGGTTCATAAGGTAAGGATAAAAAACATATAGAGATACAATTGCTGAAGAAACATATTCCACAGCACTAGTTAGAAAATCTCTACTATTATAGCCAGAGTAAATTCACTAAATTTGCTGTTAAACGCACAAAACTGCAAAATGAAATTCCTACATAATAAACAGTTTTGTGTTTACCTTCTCCTCCCCACTTCAGTTTGTAAATACTGTTACACAAGAGTGTAACTGAATAAAACTACATTAAGATTAAACTCTACCAATGACCATACATTTTTACTTAAAATTAGCTTCTTCCAGCAAAGCCTTCCTTGCCATCTGAATTCAACCCCCAAAAGCGAGCTAAGATTCCATCAACCATGTTAAGACACCGAGCAATACCACCTGCAATAAAAGACTTTTTAACATTTTAATAACCATCTTCCTATTTTTGCAGCAAATAAGCAACATTATAAAGCCTTGTTCACTGCAAATTGGCAGTTAAAGATCACCTTGTACACATTTCGGAGGTTAAGCATTTTGTGGTTTTTTTGCATATTTTTTAAAGCTGCTCAGTGTCTTGAAGAAATTACTCAAAATAAAAGCTCTGCTTATTCTCAAAGTAATACTTAGCAAGTGAATCCAACTTAGAAAGGCAACTCTAATCAAGTTTTGGGTCAGACAAAAGTAGAGCTTTGTTTTCTTTCAATGGCAGAGAACTTACTTCTTCAGAGTTCAAACACTCCAGCAATGACAAAATCAATTTATTTTACCACTGTGGAAAGGTGCCAAACTCATGTTTATAATAGCTGGTGTGATTTCCTATCAGTAATGTTTTCCCGTTTTTTCCTGGCCAAATCTTTCCAAGTAGTATATCACAAAATGCCAGCTTGTTCTTTATAAATAAATTGAAGCCATGATAATTAAGCAAAGGAATTGCATTGTACCACAATGCAAAGTCCAATGGTATATAGCACATACAGAGAATTAAATAACCTGAAATAAAGCTTATGGATATTTATCCTAAACCTTGGTTCACTTTAAATAAAAAGCTTTGAACAAAATGTGCCTCTAGAGTGATTATACTTTAAAACACACACACACACACACACACACACAATTTAAGCCATTACTCAAATACCAAAATAATAATTATGAGAATTCACTACCTATTTGCATCTATGTGTATATCCACTCTCACACACTCACATATACAGTGGTGCCTCGTACAACGAATGCCCCGTTTAACGATGAATTCGCTATCAACAATTTTAACATATTTTAGATTTTTAACTATAGATTGCTAGCAAACAATGCTACAGTAGCTATCAAAATAAACTTTTTGCAAACAAAATATGAAAGAAAACAAAGTTCATTTTATCTAACCCATAAGTAGAGCCAACATATTGGCAACATTAAATTATCATGCTTGCTAGCTTAATAATGTGTAGCTTTCTAAGAGTTAAAGAAGAAATCATACAGCAACACTGCTGGCACAAGTAGGATTGTACAGCACATAAATAAATATTGGTTTTAGAAGTCCAGGATCTATGTTAACAGACCTTAGTTATCCCACTTTACTATAACATACATTGCACTTATATTTTTCAATTAAAACACTATTTTCAATACCAGGAGTTCCATGCATTGTGCTCCAGATCAAATACAAACCTCATAAAACTGGAAAAAAACTCCCTCTTTTTCCAAGCAGACAGAATCACTTTGAACTTGAAAGTCAACTGTACAGTTAAATACATTATATTACAGATAGCCACATTATGGCAAGACTGATCTAGTTTCACATATACAGTATGATTGTTTTCATGCAATTTCTTCTATAGGAAGGTACTCTTTTGGTATGATCAGCTTGTAAACACTTGCGACAATAGCACTTATTTTGACAAACAAATGGTGTTTTGCATAATTAAAGATTACTATCTTTTCCAGAAATCTGAGGTTATTGGTTACAGTAATCAAATCTGAAATAAGAATTAAGTGTTTTGGAAATTATACTCTAGCAGGACTGATGAATGAATTAACATTAAATGCATATCACATGCCAGCATGTTGCCTTCCAGCACTTTATACTGTCTTAGAACAGTAAGAATGCTTAAGTCAACTAAAATAAAACATCTTTTAACTGATTTCGAACCTCCATCCCTCATGTTCTCTTCCCGAATCACTGGTGATGTCAACGTGATAGTCACTTGCATTTTTGGTTCCACACAGGAATTCAAGACGATTGCTGCTTCTTGTACAGCACACTTTATTTCATATTTCTCAGGACTTATTACCTAGACAGGAAAAAATATAAAGTATCCACTAAACTTTCATACACATAAAGAGAATGGCTGTTAATATCTGGAGACTTAATATAGTGGGAATTCACTTATATCTTGTACTAAAGATAGGGAACCGCTTTCATAGTCAAATCCAGAGAAATTCTTGGGACCATATTCCAGCAATGGAGAGGACCAAAACAAAAGGTGGGATAATTTTTTTAATGAATTCCACTTATCCAAGCCAATGATGCCATCCAGCCCAGTCCTCCTCTAGGAACACACAATTTAGGTGTGGATCTGACAGGCAGAAGTTCCAGAAAGGAGAATTATGGGATTTGGAGTCCCTTCCACCAAACAAAAACATGAATGACATATCCGTATCATTGACCTTTAATGTTCTTATTTTTCTAGTTTTATAGCAGAAGAATTTGGACGTTGAGTCATGGTGACTGGACTTCTTTGTTGTTAGGTTGAAACATTCTGCTACTCATCTAAATAGCTTCTTCAGTCCAAGTAGACTGAAGAAGCTACTTGGATGAGTAGCAAAACGTTTCAACCTAACAAGAAAAAAGTCCAGTTGCCATGACTCAGCTTCCAGATAACCACACCTAAGTGACTGAGACTCTTCACAGATATACAGTGGGATCTCGACTTACGAACGGCTCGACATATGAACGTTTCGACTTACGAACCACTCTCATAGGAATATATGGACTCGACTTACGAACTTAGATTCGAGTTACGAACTCTTTTTTTCCCTTTTTTTTTTAAAGCTAAGTCATCTTAGGTTAAAAGGAAAATAAGAAAAAATATCCCCCTCTAGTGGCAAAAGGCGGAATAGCAGCTTCCCATTAGTTTGTATGGACAGAAAAGAGCAGATACGGATCAAATGGTTTTCAATGCATTCCTATGGGAAATGCAGATTCGACTTAAGAACTTTTCGACCTGAGAACTGCCTTCCAATACGGATTAAGTTCATAAGTCGAGACCCCACTGTATAGCAGAAGAATATTTCTAACTCCTGCATATGATTAATGTAAAGGTTTCTTATTTTAGTTTACTGTTGACCAAAATTACGGGCTATAACAGTCTACTCTAATTTCCAAACACTGGTTCATTTTTTCATATATTAGTTTCAAGCTCATGTACACAATATGATCCTTCTGGAGTTAAAACCCTCTTTTTCTTAAGATACCAGATACTGAAGAAGTGGGATATTTGTCCCAAATTTCCACAACCCTGGCCTGCTTGCCTCCACACTGGGATAGAAAACTGGATCTTTTAGCATTAAATGCCACAGTGGAAGAAAATATGCTCTCTTTCTCAAGACAAACACACACAAAGTACAATTCTCCTGGCTAAAGCCCTAGATGGTTGTCCTGTTTGAAGACAAGACATGCTAAAATATGTTGTTTCAAGTAAATCTGCACTTGTCATTATAAAAATAATTCATACCTAATTCAACAGCTTTGAAGTAAAATAGTACACTGAAGATATCTAACACAATCCTAGTTTAGGGCTTTACAAAAAATACAGATCAACATTCAAGGGCATACGTACAGAAAGTTGCTTGGGCAGACTTTCAGCAATGCGATTAAGCAATGTCTTAGTGGGTTTCTCAGCACAAAGTAAGACAAGGTTGACATTTCGATCCCCACGGAGAAGCAATCCCTTAGCTAATACTCCCACTCGTAAGACTCCTTTCAAAGCTCTGTGTGGGGGGAAAAGACTTCCTAAGAAGCAGGTATTTCAAACCTTAATCATCACTCTAAGAAAACAAGATTCCACAAAAATTCTCCACATGTAATATCCTAGAGCTAATCTTTTATCAGAGTAGGGCAATATGTGAATTTGCACATATACCACAGTACAGTTTCAGTATGTAAGAACACAACTAGATTAGATCACAAATCCATCTCATGGGACATTCTGATATCACTGTGGCCAAGGAAAGAGCTAGTGAAAGCATTCTGTTTTTTTTTAATGTAAACTGGCCCAAGTAGTCTCTCACTAAGTCGGATAGGCTAGAAGCTTGATAAATAAATAATAAATAAATAAATAAATAAATAAGCCCATAGAGAAAACATAAAAAACAACAGCAATGTGCAATTAATGCTTGATATAAAAAACATGTGGTTAACCCATAATGTCTGTGTTCTGAGTGACTCTTTATTTATGCATTCACATATATGGGTCTGTGCAAGCCACAGTTTAGAACCTTCTAGATAGAAGCTGAGCATTACCTAAATTGCATGCATCTGCAGCATGTGTGTGAATCTCAATGCAAAATTTGGATGATGTAAAGACGGAGTAGCAATAAAAAAGAGGTTACTTACCTGTAACAAGCAATAAACCATAGATATTGAAGAGAGGAGCAGTTTTCCCTTTGCACATTGCAGAGCAGTTTTTTCCCTGTATAGTTTCAATCCTCATGAGCAAATGATAGCTGCTAACATCTAGAGGCGTTTATCTTACACGAAAAGGAGAAATGCAGCTTCAAGGTAGCCATGACCAATCCTTGTTTGACTGCAGGATATCTCCCAAAAATAAGCATATTGACTGACAATTTATGGAGCTGGAGAACCTGACTACATCTTTCTACCAATGAGATCCAACAAACATTCTTTATCAGGAGGTACAGAGGACAAAAAATTTTTGCCAGCTAACAATACAGTAATAAAAGAGTTGAAAAACAGTTGTCTGGATTGCAACTCAAAGATATAATGCAGAACTCAACAAAAACCTTAAATCTAATGAGATACAATGTGTTCTTGATAGCATTCATCAATGAAAATAAAATGGGAAGTGCCACAGTGGTATTACCCAAAGTCTGGATCACCAAGATGACCAGAATTTTCATGGGAAATTGTGTTGGTCTTATACTTTTAAGGAATTTGCAAATGTGTTACTATCTTTACTAACAATTCAGCATTGGAAATGTAGTCTTTCAACATCAAGAGAAGTGTTTGGTCATTGTCAAAGTGGTTGGGCAAAGCTTATTAAATCAGTATCAGACTCAAGAGATGGGTGTGAAATAATAGTTTCATGAATATCCTCTCAGTGTAGAGTACAGATGAAGTCAACTGATGGCAGTGGAAGCATGACTGCTATGGGAGTTGCTGCAGCCATTTTGGTTATGAAACTATGAGTGGCAAGAGGGGGTAACGAAGATTATACAAATCGGTACTGTGGATCAGACACTACCAATCAAAACTGAAATGTATAATATTGAGAACCGCCATAGTACCTTCTACCCTCCAAAGCCCTAAAAGAGTGATGAAGATGCCAGAGAATATTGAAAGTGAGAGCTGACATGCCCAATTTAGGGTAACATTCAAAGTGACCAAGTTCACTTGGTAACAATGTGCTTGAGGGATTAAGATAAGACTGACTCCTCTTGTGTTTCTCTTCAGACATCGTCAAGGATGTGTGTCTCAGAAAACAACTGATGTTGGACTAAGGCCAGAGAGGCAGTTTAAGCCTTAAGGATCTTTGGTGGTGGATACTCAGAAATCACTTCCACCTCAGTGATATCAACTGCAAACACTTTGATGTCTTTATGCATCTTTTTCTGTTTCTTAGAAAGATACAGTGGTGCCTTGACTTACGAATGTCCCGACATACAACCATTTCGAGTTACAGCCACCTCTGGCTGCAGAATTTTGCTTCGACCTGCAGCCGGAGCTTCAAGTTACAACCAAAAAAAGGCAGGGGAAAAAAGCAGGGAATTCAAATTGCTAACCGTTGGCAGGCGAAGAGGCTGCTTCTTTGTAGCTCTTTCGCCCCAACGGTTAGAGTGCGATCGGAGGCGGCTTCGGACTGCCTGGTAAGATAAGGTGCTGCTTTCTGCTTTCTAAAAACTTTTCTGGATGGGTTTTGCAGCGTGGTTTTGTGCTGGATGGTGGATTATGTTTCTATGCTGTGATTGGTCTTGGGTTTGGTTTTTTT